AAAGCCATTCATGCATGCTGGGGTCTGCCAGGGTCCTAGTTCTGCACTGTGAGTCATTGCTCTTTCTAAAGGAAATACAGTGACTTTTTCATACTTGGCAGTTAAGCAGTCACCACATATTCTCATCAAATTTAACCAATGTCATCATAACTAAAAATATTTGGCAGATCTGGTTTGTTGAAAAACAACAAAGAAAAGTAGATCTAAAAAGGAGACAAACTGAGTTTACTGTAAGAGTACAGACATCTTAAGTTTATTTTGATACAGTAGAGAATATCAATAACTTTAGGAACGTCTGAAAACCCACAGAGCGGACTGCTTTAGCACTAGAGGAGGAATTAAATGCATGGCAGACCATGGGTTGTACACATTTTCTTCCTTCTGTGAGTTATAAAAAAAAAAAACTTAATGCGGGGGGGGGGGGGGAAAGAAGTTTAGAGAAGGGGGTAACACTAGTGCAAGTCTTGGATGCTATTAATTCATGGCTGTATCCCTTCCAAGGCTGAGGCTCATTTAACAATCAGCCATATGCTCAGACTTTTGTAGTGCCAAGAAAAAGCATAAATGGAATGTTATCTCCTGGAATTATGCAAAAAAACCCCATGCAAAATAATCACAAGCGTTAGTAATCGAGCGCCCCTTAGCTCTCTAAATGAATTCTAGGCACACTGAGAGAAAGCGTCCTCAGGAACAATCAATTTGGGGATTACATCAGAACAACGAGTTACACAGAGCAAACGTATGTCACTGCACCATGGAAGTCTGAGCATCTCTGCCACGCAGAGGGTACCATGTTCCTGCCCTCCCAGTTCTAGTGCAAACTCAAAGTGAGCTTTGCCAACTTCAGAGGAGATGAGACCAACTTTGTTATTTGGGTTTAAAACAAAACTCATATGAATTAACTTTCTAAATCCCCCAGAAACTTACTCTTTCAGAAAACGTTTTTAAAAGATCACTATAACAAAGTGAAAGCAGCGACCCAAAAGGATCACTATAACAAAGTAAACAATCAGAAATGCCCTAACAGCAATAATTAAAACTGCTGCAGAATAGCTTTCTCTGTGTGTCCCAAGCCCAACCTAGAAGCTTTCTCCATTGCATATTTTCACAAATACGTGAAGAGAAACATGGGTTAAATTAAGTAAAGTACATCTGCCAAACGCTTGATTTGTGGCCGATTCCAGAGAGGCCGATACCAAGATGAACATTCAGCAGCCCATGATAAAAACTTTGTCAGTTGCTGTAATAAATTAAGATGCAGGAGACGTTGTTAGCAAAAAGCCACTTTAAGGGAAACCCTTCTTAGCTCTAACAAGCACTTTGAATGGCCAACAAATTGAAAGGAGGGTTCATTCCACAGTCATCCTTTAAATCTTCCATTTACATGAACTGATTTTACCAGATTAATGCACTTCCCATATTGAATAGTAGTTATACTTGGTCTGATTCTGCTTCTGTTATTCACCACATCAATAATACTTTCTTACTATAACAGGGCTCCTATAGAAATTTAGTAATTTAGTATGCAAAAGGATGGCAAAATTTGGCCTGCTACAACAATGCGAACCCCACAGCAGTTTACTAAAGTTAGTGCACATGCCTTAACCCACCTCTTTCAAATAAAGGTCTCTTCTCAATCAACATAAAATCCAATAACATGAGAAACCACCATGCTTTTTCTACAAATATGTGCTCTGCTTGACTGTAACCAGTATACTTTTCTAATACAGCACGTTGAACAGTTCCTCAGACACGCTTGATAGAGGAAAAAATGGTTGACCAAGATTTTACTAAAAGAGAATTCCCTGAGTGTTTAAAGTTACTCTAAATACACATGCACGTGCCACGGCAGAACTGCAAATAACTGCCTGGCAATGGAAACAGGACTCTGGTAGATGGCATGCCAACCCAACAAAGAAAACCCACCCCACAGAACGGTCAACTCCTCTTTAAGACACAATGACCAAGCACTGTAAGAGCAGCTCTGCAAGACTCTACCGAAAACCTGGCCTTTCTCTTTGTGCCAATGCAAGGTAGGAAAACTAGACTCTACTCTAAAACTAGACTCTATGAAATTAAGAAGGCAATTCTGAATTGATGCCAGGGAGACATTCTGTGACATTTTCAATGTTTAATGACGGCTCCTTGTTTTACTTCGTTATAAAACTCACATTATACAAATTTCCCACTATTATAGGGGGTAATCATTTGTCATTTTAAATTTACATAATGTATTTATAAATGCATGCATTAATCAAATACAGGATAAAAAGCATAGATATGTTTGTTTATATTCTCCTCTCTGCTCTACATACGTGCCATGTCCAACTAGTTAGCTGTCTGTACACATATGCGTACATTTCATAAATTTATATATTTTTATATACAAAACTGCTGTACATAGCAGGATAAATAGAACATGCAAGAAAAGGAAAAACGAAGAAACTAAGAGCTATAACACAGCACCAATTTAGATACACAGAAGCCACGTAACAGAATCATTTACAATGTGTTATAGCTCAGTATTTCAACCTCATGTGTTTTAAATGCATTTATTGTACTACTCAACTTTGCTATGGCATCTCCTGCAAAAAAATCTACACAGCTACAGAACAGGTAACTGTTATAACGGTTACTTACACCAGAGAAGGAACAGTTTGCAGAGAATCAGCCTGAATACAAGATGGAGTCAAGAATCAAATATTTAAGAAAACAATATTCCGATACAAGATGCTTCTTTGAAGTAGTTCTTGGATTTCAAGGAAGACAAGGCAGCGGAGTAGAAAGTGAATGAGAGTGGTCTAAAAGGCTCAAGTCCCGTCATACACAGAACACAGCATATTGTGCTTTTTAGTAGACATGGGAACGTTCAAGAGGATAAATTACGTGTCATAACCCAAACCTCAGTGTGTGACCGAGAAGCCCAGCTGATGCTTTCTTTAACCTTTGTGAGAGAAACAGCACCTAAGGCCAACATCTTCTGCAGAAGGACTGCTTGCATTATAGATCTGACGTTACGAAGGCTAGGAGACTAAAAGCTTGTAGTCAAAAGCTATCTAGTGTCAGACAGACCGTCTGACACTACAGACGGTAGCGTCACCGTCTGTGTCTGTACGGTAGGGCACATACAGATATGCCCTACAGACCAGGGCATATCTATGTATCCTAGATGAAGTTTCTGAGTGTTCTCTGCCAAACGGAAGCCTTTCATTTTCAGTTTCTAAATATTCACATAAGCAAATCCTTGGTTTTTATTCAAGGCTGCTAAATGTGACCTCTCCACTAACTTACCCGTTAAGCTCTACACTGAAAATACACTACAGTCATTCACTGAATTTCGTAAAAGACAAGTTGTGGTAAATCTGGCTCTATCTGAAAGGATCCTGATGCCCAGCAAGCTCCAGAACTTTTGCCTTGGGAGGTCAGGGAAATTACAAGGCTTAATTTAGAAAAATGACTTTGGCTGCAGGGCTGGCCAAAAAGTTCATTTCCGTGTCCTATACTGCCAGTTCACAGAAGGAAACAAAACTCAGCTAGATAGAGAGAAAACATTGTCTAGTATGCCAGTGTTTACTTTGAGCCAGGCAGCAACACCTTAGGCAGAGTACCTCACGCCCAGCTACACTTGCTTATCTTCCATATGGAAGACAGTGCCCTACTTAGAGCATTTGTGAAAACTGCAGCACAGGAATCAAATCAACTTCACCTTCCCATATAGTAACCTCCGAAATATTGCTCTGCACTGACCAGCACAATCCTTTCACTTGCAGAATCCAGAAGAAAAGAGCCTAAGAGGCTGTAATAGGTCAGCTAAGGAAAAGTCCAGACTGGCAACTGTCATTTGTGAGCTTCAAAAATTAACAGCCCCTCCAATGAATTAGGAAGAATAGCTAATAGAAATGAAAGTTGTCACTGGTTTGGAAGTGAAGTCTACAGTCAACAGATTAAAGTACTGCCTTGATGTTATAAGCCACAACTGCTACAAAATGTTTACATCAGCATATGTACTTCTTTAGAATCTGGTCTCGCTATTTTTCGGACATAGACTTTTCTTGGCACTTCCATACTTCTCCGTCATTCTCTGACGAGAGTCACATAAGGTTGACAGAGCTCCCTTTTGCAAGCAAACAGTTATTTTGTTTGTAAAGGTGTCTGTCTTACCCAACTCTGACCTTGATCTGAAGGTGAATTTACACATAAATTGACCTAGAAACGAGTGTCTGTCTCATGCACACATTCATATAAATCTACATATACATAAAAACATTCAAATCCAATGAAGCACTACTTTATTTTCAAATTTAATTTCAGCTCAGGCTGAAAAATTAAAATAAGATCTCATTTCCCCTTTATTTTGCTTGCAATCTGCTCCAATACTGGCCATCCCATGTCAAATGCTTCTTCTGATCCATCTGCACATTCCCTGCAACGCGTCCCCTCTGGACTGAAAGATCCTGTCATGGCTCAGCCAGAAAAAGCAGCTTCGGCCACATGCCGAGAATCCATCTCGGTATAATGACAGGAGTCAATGGCTATGGAAGACGCGTGGGGAGGGAAGGGATTTGGGGGAGATTACGGTTGTTATTGTTCTATGTTATTGTTCATACAACGTGTAACCCAGCAATATTCAATGTAGTCCAGTATGTGAGCATCCTCCTCCCTCCCTCACCCACATCAGTCAGCTTTGGCTGCTGCAGCTACGTGCTATTTTTATGCTGGTGCATCAACTTAGAATTTATTGTGGAAGAAAAAAAATAAAAGAATAGATAGGCTTCTCCATGCATTGGAGAAGGACGGAGCCTAAAAAAGGATGTTTGCACTGTACGCTCCCTAAGAAATTAAAATCACCTCCACTGCAATTAATCAAGTCTACTTCTACCACAGATATGACCCTTACCCTGAATAAAATAAACCAAATATTAGCAAGCCCTGGAAAGGTCTCAGTCTCTCTCTCTCTCAAACACCCTGTTCTCCCCACCCTCCAAGAAACATCCCCTTACCTTTCATTGTCCACACTCCTGAAGCCAGGTAAAACGTGCCTGAAGCTGCTGTTCCTATCAAGCTTCGGTTGGCTCTTTGTCCTTTTGATGGAGCCTTTAAGCCGACGGCTGAGGAACCCCTGTGGGGTGAGACAAGAATACTAAATTATAACAAAAAAAAGGAGAAAGAGCTGCAGCCAGCATCTGCTCCCAGCGCTCACCAAGGCCAGGGCGCTGCGTCGGCGCGAGACTCCCCGAAGCCTCTGTTACCCTGGCAACCATCAGCTCACATAAAAATACTGTCTGAAAGACAAACGTAGCACGGTGCAACTCCTGACGAGAGGAAAGATTAGGATGCAGGGCTCTGGCTGCCAGGGCCATTTCACAGGCACAGGTGCAAAAAATCACCCACTTATCACAGCGACCAGGAGACAGGTAATAACTTAATTACCTGATCAAAACCCCCTGGATTTCACCCATCGCTGGCAGAACTGGACTCAGGTGTTTTCAATACACATAAAAATGTCCTCTAGTGCATATATAAACACACTGTCTGGAATCTGCAGCTCTTAAGCAACAGCTGTATGCTACCTTTATGGAAGGTGGTGAGCCTTGCACCATGCATACAGCATGTTCTCGGCTTTGCTTCTCCTTCTCTCATGCAGTATAAGTCTTGGCTCTTATAGTGCTCTAGAGCAAAGCTAGCACTAAATGTTTTAATAGCAAAGCTTCTAATGTGTTATTTGCTTATTGTTAGGGGTTAATGTTCTACATAATCTGAACATTACATTTAATCTCTAGGCTAAATATGGCAATAAAAGAATAATACTATTGTGCTGTCCAGCATTTACAGTATACACAAACAGCCTTAATGGATCAAGCATGCTAGCTAGAGAAAGCGGGGTAGCGTTTTAAGGAGAAACCAGGATTTGGTAGTGAAGCCTGAGTAAGTGCTCTTTTTCTATGCTGTCGTACCAAAGAAATAAATTAGCTACATATGAACAACTTGGCAAATCCCTGCACAACCTGAGAGTTAGCATATGCCACTTTCCCGTCCTATCCTCAGCCAAGGGGATAAAGATATCCTCTGGATCAAGCATAGATTTAGACATACAGGAGGAAAGAACTGTGAGAAGAATAGGAATCTTTCCACTGGGTACTGTGTCAGCAACCCAGATATACCCACACAGCGTTCCTCTCCGTTCTGGACGTGAGTCTAAGTAGCTTCTCCGATCCCTCTTAAGAAACAGATATGGGTCATATACCCTTTAGCAGCTTCCTTTTATAAATGGATACCCCTTATATGTCTTGCAGGAAGATAATCATAGTGTAACTTATATCTAGCCTGCCATTTGTTCATTCTATTTCAATATGCCTTCCCCACCTAGGATATTCATGTGACACATTATGTCTGTCTCAGGTTGCAAAATATCCTGGGGCAGTATGGAAGTGACTTCCCTGTTTGTAAGCGCATCAAGAATTTGAAACATGTAGATAACCAAAGGTGTTTCACATTTATTAAGTACCACTTTACTTACAAATGAGGCATGTAATATGCATTCATGTGAATTGAATATTTCTTTGAGTGCTCTTTGCATGATTGAAATAGGAGGATCTACAACACATGGCCATCAGGTTATATACTTTGCCATCCTTCACAAAGGAGCGCATAAGAAACAAAGGCCTTTTCAGAAATGTTTGGTCTGTGAGAATTACCTTTAGAGAAGTTTGTTTTTATGGTATTGGGAAATACCAGAAAGAGGGAACAATGTGACTCAGAAATAGCAAATTTGGGGATCTCTTCCTTCATTATCTTTTGGATAACGGAGGGGAACACTGATAAGATATTTGTCTCTGTACTCAGACCTTTACTAGCCTCACACTGTTGATAACAACTCCTTGTGCTCTTCCTCCTGCACAAAAGGCAGGAGACCTTCTGTACATTAGCATCAAACACACTGAAACCTGCAACACTCATCTCTTCATAAAGTCAATGAAATGCTGCCAATACGTTTATTCCTTTCACATGGATAGCTGGGATTGAAATATCGTAAAAGGAAAATTTTTACTATAGCAGTATATTTTTTTTCCCACCATTATCTCCTTCTCTGCTTCCTAAGAGGAAATCTCCAGCCATCTCCTCTAAGCCATGCCAGGCTTACAAAGCTAGAGCAGGCCACTGATTGCCTGCTATGGAGAATAGCCAATACTCTGTGAAGGAAAAGACCAAATATCAAAAATATGTAACTGGCCAATCACCCCATGGTGAGCAGCTTTTGCCCAGAAGCAAGAGACTGGATTTCCTTTATCACTGCCAGCCTAGCTGGCGAATACGTCTTAATATTATCACGGCACTTTTTAAAATCCAGTAACAGCTTTCAACACTGGACAGTGAATTGAGAAGGAAAAAGCCATATACTCTTTGTAACAAATGATCACAGATTTCTTTCACTATCTCATATTTCACATCTTGACAATTGTTAGATGATTCGTGCAGAATTTGGAAATTAGAATTTAGAATTGCAATAAGACATTTCTTTCCTTCTGTTTCCCATTGTTTTTATATTCATTGCCACCAGAAGGAGATCACACTGTGCCATTTTCAGTTTTCACTGCTAGTTTCATGGGAAGAATGATATGTCAGAGATTTTAATGCTGATAAATTATAATGCTATATAATGCTATAGCAATACTTCACACTTCCACCGTGCTTGCCAGAAATCAGAAACTCCACTGTGTGAAAAACTACCTTCCTTAATTTTTGGATGGGTAACTCAGAAAGAGGGAGGGGAGGTGGCCTCAGCAAGACAAGACAGAGAAGCCAACCTGGGGCGTGACTGCCGCGCTTTCCTGGTGAGATCATAAGAACATCATCCATTTCTTCTTCGTCTCTGACTGTAAACAAGATTCGATTCTGATCTCTAGAGGAACGAGGCGCTAGTTCTCCCCTATGAACACTGCCTACTGCTCTAGCCTTGCTGCACTCTTGGGAGTTCTAGTAATTAAAGTGTTGCGCTTTATTTTATATGTTCTTTGTATGCTTATAAGTTTATACTGAGAGCTTGTGTCTTTCTGTTCGTGGCAGCATTTACTATTAAAAAAATAAATAAGTTAGGAAGGTAATACTGAGAAGCACAAAGGAAGTTAATGATGTCCTGTATTAAATTACAATACATAGAAATCTGAAGAACAAAAGAATCTGTTCAGAATTTACTGCAGCAGAAAATCACAAGATGCCACAAACCTTACTCTGAGCCTGGACCCAGCCCAGGGCAGAGAGAGCCTGTTCACCTACACCTAGGGAAAACACTGGAACCAGTTAGCCAGGATGGGCTGTAGCAGTATTGTTCGCAGTGCGCAAAGTAATTTTCACGTATTGTGCTGCATTGCAAGGTGTAGACATGTCAGCTTACACTGAACTAGTGCGAAACGTGCATGTAAGGTAGCCTTCTGCTACACATCATAGGCATGTCCTAAGAATTATAATGTTACAGGAAAGCAAAGCTTATTTTTTCCTTCAACGATCAATGTTTTCTCCCTAAACGTGAACAAGAAGGCATCACATAAACTAGCAGACAGAAGGTTCAAAAGAAGCAAAAGGAGAAACTTTATACCGGTTGTCCAGCATAACACTAAGTGTTCAGCACAAGCAAGCATAATACCTCCCCTTTGCTCAGTATAGATCTGTCCTTGTTTAGCCCAAATGACTTTTTAAACTTTGCTGGAACACAATGAAGCAAAACTTAGGATAACATTACCTTCTTTATAGGCAACAGACATAATATAAATCACGAAATATTCTCTTAAACGCAAGCAGAGGTACTAACGATATAAATCTGTCCTTTGTACAACCTCTAAAACATCCTTTGAACAAGAAGATGTATTCTCACTGGAGAAGAGACAGCCACTGTGGTCAAGTACACAGAACCATGCGCACAGTTGCATGGAGACCTGCCACGCATCAGAGCCCGCGAAGTGAGCACACAGCCCAGCTAACCTAGCAAGAGACATACAGACCTCCCACTGTGCAACTAAGCGATTTAACTTTTTCAAGTGCAAGAGCCTTGCTTTTCTTGTTTTATTTCTGCAGTACAACCCTGATTCCAGTATATAATTGCTCTAATCAGAAGAGCTGAGTTACAATAAGACACAGAAAAAAGGCCGAAAAAACACCCAAAACGAATCCTTTTGAGGAAGGGCTTAATCACAGCGACAGCTACTTAAGCTAAAACAGGACGGGCACACTTCAGAACAGGACAATTAAGTCTGCTGTGATTTAGACTGTTTTTTCTTATATGTTTGGACAAACCTGAAATCTGATGCCCTCATCTTTGCAGGAAGGTCAGATTCCCTTTTTAATTTTTCCTGCCTATCAATCTTGGCATTTTCAACTATTCTAGACCCTGAATAAATCTGAATATTAGAATACTTCTATGGCCTATGTGCAAATCCGTCAGAACTGTATGTCTTTGAGAAAGAGAAACTGCGTACTTCCATACACCCTGGGCCATTGATAAGAAAACTGGAAAGTGGAGAGAAAAAGGGCAGAGTGCAAAGCTGAGTAGAGGATTAAAGACAGCAGAATCCAGAGTCTGCCTCTTGGGCTCCTGTTTCATTAAATGTATTTGATGCAAGTCTCATGTATCTGGAACTGACTCCCACACCATTAATGTTCATTTGCAGTGAACCCTCATTAAAAAACATTTTTAAGGTAAAAAGTCAGCACCATGGAAACACAATATATGTGAGATTAAAAAAAATATATATATACATATATATCAATAAATCAAGCTGGATGATTCAAGAGGAGCTTTCTTTGGAAGAGTCCTGGCAGCTCCCTATATTTTCTATGCCATGCACAGCAAACATGCGGGACAGGCAGAGTGAGGGACAAACGCCCATGAGGCAGAGTGAAGAGCGTGTGTGTGCAGGGGCTGATCCACGAGACTGGGAAAGCGCTGGGCCAACAGGAACATTAGAGAAGCAGACAGAAGCCCTGCTTTATGCTCTGATCCAGAGGCCACACAGAATAAACTCTGTAAAGACATATCACAGAAACTAGTGAACAGATGGGTTTATTTTTATAGTACTTTCATAGGTTTTTGTTTCAGTCCAAGTAAATCTCGACTATAGGGGACTT